AATATCTTCCAAAGTTGATCCATCTGCGTGCTGATGGGTCCACTTAATTCCTATCGGCGTCCCAGATAGGTCTACTTATACCTCACTAGCGAACCGGATGAGTCCACTTGCATACTTAAGAAATTGAACCCAGCTTCTTTTAAGGGTGTTGTAAACCCGCTGGAAGCCGAGGGATGGATTATGCATTGGAAAAAATATTCGAGGTAATGGAATGTCCCGATGATAGGAAGGTGGCCTTGGCAATTATTATGTTAGAAGGTGAAGCACAACACTGGTAGCGAATGGCAAAAGGAGTATTGATCAAAGAAAATAAACCCTTGACTTGGGAAGTATTTATAGAGTCATTTAATGAAAAGTATTTTTCAGATTTTATTCGAGACCAAAAAGAAATGAAATTTCTGGAATTAATCTAAGGAAACCGGACAGTAGCACAGTACGAGGCCAAGTTTACTGAAATGACCAGGTTTGCACCACATATGATTAACAATGAGGCAAGAAAGGTGAAGAAATTTGAAAGGGGTCTCAGACCAGCTATTAGAAGCAAAAATATCAGTTCTCAAATAATAAGGCAGTCATTTGCACATGAAATTTATCATGTCCAAATATTTAAAAACAGTAGAAAGAAATCTCACAATTTTACTAAAAGCAGAAGTTTCACATTTATTTCTAATAATTTTACAGTATCTAAAATTTTCTAACAATGGACAAGAAAAATAAATAAATTTATTTCTAAGAATTTACAGCATTTAAAATATTTTACAATAGATAAAATGTCACCATTTTTACTAAAAAGATTATTCTTCGAAATAATGAGGTCGCTTGCGCATAAAATTTATTGCGCCTAAAATTCATGACAATAAGCAGAAGTAATTATTTCATTTTATTTTTAAAAAGAATGGATTATTTTTCGAGACAATGAGGTCACTTACATTAACTCTGAAATTGGGGGAGCATCAGTTCCATCCCACACAAAAATATCGGGTACTTTTTTCAGTGACTCGATGTGAATGAAGAATCTTTTCTAGGGAAAGAAAGCATATAAAATCAACTTAACAGGGATTGTGATTTACATGATCAAATGAAAGTAGTGTATGCAAAAGTTACTTTGCATACCAAATCGACAACCTCCTTCCTTTTTTTACATCCCCAATCTTCCTTTAAAGGAAGTACATATGTATCAATACCTAAACATACACTCTAACCATGCTAGAGAGAGAGAGAGAAAGAGAGAGAGAGAGAAACCCGTTGGATATTCCTTTGGTCTGTATATTATGACAGTACCATTCAAGAGAAGAATCGACTTGGGAACGAGAAGACGATATCAGAGAAAAATATCCCTACCTTTTTCAGTAATCAGGTACACAAATTTAGAGGACTAATTTTTTTTTAAGGGAGGGGAGATTGTGACGACGTAAAACTTTTGGAACCAAAAATAATAATAATAATAATAATAATAATAATATTAATGGTGTTAACAGAAATAAATATAAAATAAATAAATAAAATAATAATTATATATTAGTAATGATACTAATAATAATAATAATAATAATAATAATAATAATAATAATAATAATTTTATACCGTTAAGATATTGTTACTTTTATATTAACAATAATTAAACGATATTATTGTTAATATACTTGAGGGTTCAATTTTATTTGGATGGACCTTAAGTCCACCATCTTAAAACTTTATGTTAACACTCCTTGTACAACACCTGGCGTCTGAGGTGCATTTTTTTTATTCGACACTCTCTTGCTCTCTCTCTCTCTCTTAAAGATGAAACTCCATCAGCAGGTTTTTCTTTCTCTCTCAAAAAAAGAACCCCATCAACGGGTTTCTCTCTCTCCCTCTCTCTAGCATGGTTGGAGTTTATGTTTAGGTATTGATACATATGTGCTTTCTTTAAAGGAAGATTGGGGATGTGAAAAAAAGGAAGGAGGTTGTCGGTTTGGTATGCAAGGTAACTTTTTCTCGTGTAAATCGCAATTCCTGTTAAGTTGATTTTATATGCTTTTTTTCCCTGGAAAAGATTCTTCATTCACTCGAGTCTCTGAAAAAAGTAACGATGTTTTTGTGTGGGATGGAACTAATGCTCCCCCATTTTCGGAGTTAATGTAATGACCTCATTGTCTCGAAAAATAATCCATTCTTTTTAAAAATAAAATGAAATAATTATTTCTACTTATTATCATGAATTTTAAGAGCAATAAATTTTATGCGCAAGCGACCTCATTATTTCGAAGAATAATCTTTTTAGTAAAAATGGTGACATTTTATCTATTGTAAAATATTTTAAATGCTATAAATTCTTAAAAATAAATTTATTTATTTTTCTTGTGCATTGTTAGAAAATTTTAGATACTCTAAAATTATTTGAAATAAATGTGATACTTCTGCTTTTAGTAAAATTGTGAGATTTCTTTCTACTGTTTTTTAATATTTAGACATGATAAATTTCATGTGCAAATGACTGCCTTATTATTTGAGAACCGATATTTTTGCCATTGATTATAGCATTGTCTATGAAATGTTTATTTGCAAATTGACATCCTATAAATTGTGATAATTCCGTATTCTTGAATTTCTATAAGAGTTTTTCTATACATTGGCAATTATGTTTGAATGTCTTTACGAACTGCTACCTTTCTAAATTTGAACCCAAAATATTTGATTGGCTATTTTTGAAATGTTATTGAAAGTAACTGTTATTAATGGTTCCAGTGGAATTCATATTAATGATTTCAGTGATATGTTGAGTACATGATATTGCTGCTTTCGAATGTTTAAAGAGATTTAGAAATACTTTAAGTATGCAAGTGGACTCATCCAGTTCACCGGTGAGGTATAAGTGGACCTATCCGGTACGCCAGTAGGGATTAAGTGGACTCATCCAGTACGCCGGTGAGGTATAAGTGGACCTGCAAGGATTAAGTGGACCTATTTGGGACGACGATAGGGATTAAGTGGACCCATCAGGACGCTGATGGGGTATATAGGTGACCTACTTGGGACGCCAATAGGGTATTTTGTGAAATCTTTTTAATTATGCATTGATGTTAAAATGTTACATGCATTTCAATTATTCGGATTATACTTAATTATGCATTTTTTATAGTGAAACTGTTAATGCATTCATGTTAATAGATCTCCTTTTTTAAAATATTGATATCTTTCAATCATGATTATTTTTAGGATTATGATGATCACTTACTGAGTAGCCAAACTCATCAAACTATGGTAAACTTTTTTTTTCAAAATAACTACGATTTTATTTTGAGCACTCGTCAGGATCAACTTTGGAAGATATTGTAGTTGTGCTTAAACTTTCTTTTGTTACTTTGTAAGAATTCGCCACTGTAAAATTGTCCTATCAAGAGATATATATATGTTTTGACTGTCACACCTCAGGAATATCAGTATTGTAAATTCTTGGGGTATGACAACATGAGAGCATAGAGACTCATTGTCGCGACTTTCGTGTGCCTCTCCATGGCCAACATATGATTTTACCAGATTGAGAGCAAAAGCAAAAAAAACATCAGGTACAAGCCGAATAATAGTAGGGTTGGAGGAAGACTATGGCATCATGATGGTGTAGTCACTAAGGGAGATCAACGCACATTCCTCAATCGCAACGATATCAAAAGTTTCATAGAGTTCTTTTGTAAAATGGGTTTTGAAAATCTATTATTGCATATCATTTATTTGTATATGAATTTTTTGGTTTGCATGAGAACCTTATCCTACTGGATGTATTAAATGTGTATGTACAAAGAGGTTGAGTAGCCTCCTAAGCATGAAAGATCACAAGGGATTAGTTGAGATACTCAAATCCAAACTAGTCAAATGTGTCAACGATTGGCTAGAGGAATTTTTTAATGAGAGAGACGTATTTTATATTAGTTTGAGGGAAACTTAATGTCGCTTTCCGTATAGGCTAGCTCCTTTGGGTCTCAAGACGTATTTTATCCGTATCATATGAGAGTTACTTCATTATTATACATTTGCCAATTAATGATGAGAGATCACCTTATTTACATGAAACCAGTTGCAGGAGAGATTTTTGAATTTTTAGGATTGATACAAGATAGAAATAAATTTGGACGAGGATTTAAGAAATAGGATTGAGGACAAATCTCATTCAAATTCAATAACATAATTTAGATCATCATCATTATCCAAGTCCTTTTCCAATTATTTGGGGTTGGCTACATGAATCATATGAAGAAAAATAATAAAAATAGCAACTTTACTGAATTCGTAAAAGGAAAAATAAATATAGACAGTGGAATTTTGCTGTGAAGCGTATAGATAACTAGAGAAGTGGGTAGATAGCTCTTAAATTTTGTTGTGTATTTTAATGGGTTGGTGAGCTCCCTTTTATAAGCTTTGGAGCTTATCCCTTTGCGATATGTGATATAGGTTTTGCATCCAATGGTTAAGATCTCTCTTTGTCATATCAACAGCTAAGCATTCATGTTCCTTTCTCTTTTATCTTATCTTAAAGAAAACGTTTTGGTTCAATATGACCGTTAGAGCATTATTGATAGGTGACATAAAAAAGAAAGGAATAATATTTATCAAAAAAAAGGTAATCAAAGAATATAAAGGAAATAATTCCATTATAGAAAGTAAATAATATTATTAAATTTATTTAACATAAAAGAAAAGAGAAGAACCTTACTCATGAGGCTTATGTGGCCATACTCCAACATCATATTACTTCATTTTTCTCTATCAAGAGTCATACTCTCGATAAGATCAAAAGCCACAAGTTCAAGATTCATGATAAGATATGACAAAGATTTAACCTAACTATCTAACCCACCTCCTTTATTCAAGCTTGGGAGGAGTTTAGGGAAAGTTTAAGATCATCACCCCTATTATACTAGAAAAAGACGGCTTAAATAAAAAAAAAATCTAGATCACTCACTAATCCAATAATACGTTTGTATTAATTTTGTATTCTGGTTAAGTTACCAAGTGAGCCAACAGCAGAAAATCAAACTTTTCATAACACGTATGTACATTAAATACAAACCATAGACAAGCTCCAAATCCTTCAAAACTCTAACCACATTCCCTCCCTCAGTCCACTCTTCCCCCTTCCAAAATTCAAATGGAAAAGAAAAAAAAAATGCACAATTACAAAAACCAGACTCTAGTAAGTTAACTATAAAACCAACCTACCCCATTATTCCATTCTTCCCACACCTTCCTCTTAAAACCAATAATTCATTACATTCATTTCATTCCCTTTCATAATGACCCATAGGATTCAAAGACATTCACAGCACTCTTTAAAACTTCTATTATGTTTTATGCCTCTCTCTTTCGATATGTAAAAAGAAGCATTAAGTCTTCTTATTGCTTCCTCTCTTCTTCCTCAGTAACAGCTTCTTCAGTAGACTGACACCCCCAGATTGTCTCTTAGGCACTATAGAAAGAGATCCACCACTGGTTATGGTGTCCATAGTTTTCAACCCATAGAACTGGCTAGGAGACTTCACTGGAGAAGCGTGAAAACTATTTCCAACAGGCTTCTCAGCAGCCTTCTTGAGATTAGAAGATACATTCCTGCCAAAGAACAAACCAGCCGGTGGGGCATCAGCAGAGCAAATGATTTCCTTGGTCTTGGGGGATGATGATGATCTTTGGTTTTCAGTTGCCTTTGTGTTCTCATCATCCTCTATGAGCCGATCCAATAGGGAAGGGCGGCGGTTTGTGGAGGAGATGACGACCTTTTCGAAGAGCGCAGCATCATGTGGTGCTGCAAGTGCCTTCAACTGTTTCCCCAGGTTCAAGATGGTTTCTTGGCACTCTGCCAGCTTCTCTGATGCGGCTGAAATCTCCCAATTCTGCATTAAAAGCATACGTATATGTATATGAGTTCTTTCTTGCTTTCAATAACATCATAACTTCACAAACACATGCACAAATATGAGCCAAGTTTCACCAATATGGGATTACATTCGAATAACGAATGGGGAAATATAAATGTTAAGTAAATAGAAGAACAACACGATGCGTTTATTCAATGTTTCAAAAACCGGCGGTCTGGATAGAGTCACCGATCTGGACAGGGAGTCGGTCCAGACGACCTAGTACCTTGTCGAAACAGGGAACCGGTCTGGTTCTTATAGACTCGCAGTAAAGAAACCAGGCGATCAGGATTGGACATATAACTCGGTTCCCACACATTCAAATTTTTAAGTATTTTTCTTTTTCTTATTCTTTTCAATTTATATATGGACCAATTCTCAAATGGGAGAATCAGTCTGATTCACTGATCCAGATCAGGGATTCATCAATTCACTTTGGTTTTCTGGATGGCTGGTTCACTCAGCCAATCTGGGCTTTTAAACACTACATTCGTTTGTTAACACAATAAGAAAAACAAACAAATTACATCTTAAACCCTCTGAATATTTTGAGCTCGCTAAGCATAAAGGACATGCCAAAACAACTTGAGGACTCTTTTTCCATGACAAACTTATTTCCAACATTTTGGAGCAGCTCAAAACAAAGATAGATCTACTCAAAGCAAGAGCCCGGCAGACAAATTAGAATTCAGCATTTTTTTTTATAATGTCATCTGCTTCACAAAATAACTAAAATGCTTCCCTGTTTCCCTTCATTACCAAAAGAAGATAAGAGTTATACCGTTCTCATTTGCATTTCCTCTCCATCCATATCAGGCTTGGATAATTTTTTGTTTGCCACACTGTAGAATGGACATTGAATAAGTATTCAGAAATCTCAGAATGAATATAAGGCATGGAGTCACGTGGCTATAACGATACAGAACTCAAAATTCTACCTTTCCAACTGAAGCTGTAGTTCGAGACAGGTTGCCTCCAACTCTTCACTACAATTTTTCTTGTCCTCAAGCTCAACCTGCAGAGAAGTAAACTTTTGGTGTGCTTCATTTAATTCAACTTTGGCAACTGAAAGCTGGGTGTCGAGATCTTCATTTAATAGCTTGTGATTTTCCATTTGATCCTCAATCAGTCCCTTGGATTCTTTCATTGCTGCCAGCTCCTCTTGTATGTTTGCTATGTTTTGCTCCAAATCCTGAAGTTGAACCTTCAAAGATTCATTAGTTTCAGTTGCCACCTGCAAACTGTGTTCCAAATATTTCTTTTCTGATGTCACATTCAATATTTCCAAATTCAGTCTCTCATTTTCTTCTCTAAGCTTATGTTCGACATCTTCCTTGTCTTGACTTGCTGAGCTATCAGAAGGTGATTTCTGAATCATATGCTTTGAATCTTTAGATCTTGGAGTATGATGAGCTTCATCTTCAAGTTCACCATCACTGCATGACTGCTCATCCCAATGAAGATTTTTCTTGATTGCATCTTTCATATTCGAAACATCTTGAAGAGAAAAGCAATGGCTTACAATCCAGTCAAATGTTGCACTCAACTCTACAGCAAATCGATCAAGATCAGCATTTCCCTGCAAAAGATCATTGCAGACCTGAGAAAATTTCTGAATGACTGCTTTAACTTCAGTACTCTGCCACTGAAAAACACGCATAGTGTAGCCTGTATTTGCATTTGGGCTCTTGTATGGTAGTGACTGATCCCCTTTATTAAAAGCGAACTGATTATCATTATAATCAGTAAGAATTGTTGGACTTAACCCATTAATAAGCTCAATTATTTTGCTGATAGCTTTGTTTAATCTAGGAGAAATAGAATGCTTATTTCCTTCCTTGAAAAATAAATGGGTCCCACACACTCCATCCAATAAATTCATGCAAGGAGGTGCCAAAGGAGATTTCCAAGAGATGTGACTATTCACAATAGGGGAATCCAGAGTTTCAGAATTGCTTGAGCATTTGTTCAAATCAATAGCTTCCTCAGACAAAGAATACAGATAAACTGTAACAGCGATCCTAACCTCCTCCAGTATATCATCCAAACACTTCTGTGAAACACGATCCTGAAGGATGTTTTTCAGGAGATCATGCAGCCAACTTGAGAATTTTTCTTTAGAAGGATATTTTAGTATGAGATTCTGACTCTCATTATCCACTCCTTTGTGACCATCACTGTAGGGGACAAGCTCCTTGCCAGTCACTTCTGATGAAGGCTCACTCTGTTCAGTCTTAAAGTGGCCATTCTCACCTCCATTACCATGTGTCGTAGAATTAGGATGCATACATTCTTGGGGATTACCAGCAGAAACTACAGCCAATCGTTCCATTTCAACAAAATCATCCATCAGACTCAGTTCAGTAGCCCCAAGTGACCTACATGATGGTGGGACATTTGGTGACTCTTTCTTAAAATGCTCGAGCTCTGAGATTAAAGCAGAAGCCCATGATTCAGCACAGCTAGCTTCATCTTCTTTACCTCCATCTTCAGATATTGAAGAGAGGCTAATATCATGTGAGATAGGGCTCCTCATTAACTCTAGACAATTTTCTCCTTTAAGGAAAACTCCAAGTTGTGCCTCTACTTGTGATAACTTGGAAACTGTACGTGCACACATGGTCCTTGAAGATTGAAGTTCACTGTTCTTCTTGGTCAGGGTTTCCTTGAGAATTTTGGTTTCTTCCTCCATTTCCCATAACCTCTCTGTTAAAATAGATATTCTCTTATTGGCAGCCTCCTGAGCATCATCAGATAGAGAGTAGTCTCTTACAATTAGAGCTGAACCATGTGATGCGTTCCACTTCTTTTTCCTTTGATCAAATGCATCCCTTCCCAAATTCTCAACTTCATTTTTCATTTGTGCCAGAGCAGCAGGCCCTGGCAATCGCTTCCGAACCAGAAGGCGTAATCTCTGGCATTCCATTTCCAACTTTGCTATCTTTTTCATGCTCTCTAAATGTTGCTTACGTGATGCTTCAGATGATTTTAGATTGTATTCTCTCTCTTCATTTCGAATTTCAAGCTCCTTCTCAAGCATGCAAACCTCATATTTCAAGGCAGAGTTATCTTTTTCTGCTGAATCTAATCTGCTCAATAATGCATTGAAATCTGCTTCTGCCTGCGACTTCCTCTCACTTATCTCTTCAATTAATTTCTCTTGAACTTGAAGGGCTTTATGCAATTGGTTGTTATCTGCAGTTACTTGAATGAGTCTCTTACTTGTTTCAGAAAGCTTTTCCTCTATCTCAATCCGAACCTTGTCCATGTCCCTTGTTGTCTTCATGATTGCATCATGAATCCTCTCCTCCTGTTCTTCACGAACATGACGCAGCTGTCTTGTACATTCTTTTAAAGCTGCATCCAATTGAACAATGCGTTCTTCTGCAGCTACCTTCTGCCTTACTACCCCATCCAATTCTTGCTTAAAGGATGCAGCTTCAGCTTCTGCCTTTTCCCAGCCTAGGCAAGACGCAGGTCCAAAGAAATTGCATCAAAATACATTCCACCACAAAGGTCTCATTTACATGCTATAGAAATAAGAGGAGAAGCATTAAGTAAATCCTTATATGTAAAGGAAATATAGTGCATAATCACCGGCAATGGCTTCTTCTGCCACCTTTGAATGTTGCTTTACAATATCATCTTTGGCTCTACTCTCATTGAGGGAAGAAGATAGCCTTTCATTTAGATCTTTCAAGGATCTTTCCAAATCGACAACTTTGTCAATCTCATTATTCTGCATAAAATTGAAGAATGTATTAGTTGCGAACTTCAGCAAAGTACATCACTCACAAAAATAATTCAAATAATTCATAAAAGCACTCAGATTGCAGAAATCTTTGAAAGTACCCGTTACCATTCACACAAGAAAGTACTTTCTTGAATCGTATGTAGAAAACACAACTGAAGCAGCCAGAATTTTCATCATAGTTTTAAATGTCGAAAAAGATTCATCATAACCTAATGGCCAGTCAACCTAGCTTGGTACATAGCATTAATCAAAATTAGCCATGACTTCTCATGAGAAAATTTGCTTTATAATCCTGTTTAGAAAAATCATAACTGAGGATTAATATGAGGAGTCCCACCAATTCTAAATGTTTTCTTTCTCTTAAAATTTGGGCTATATATAGGAAAATATTGAGATTATCCCACTAGCTCATATGAACATATGAGCCCAACGGCCCAGATTGAATCTGGACCGATCTGACGGTCACGACGTCATTTTGTGATTGAATTTTAATGTTTTTTATACAAATCCAAATAACTTGAAATTTTAGGTGTCTATTCTTCTCATCAAGGCACACAGGGGATAGG